CAAGCAAGGATCCCATCAACACTCTTACCCTTACCTTCAAAAAAAGGTAGACAGCCCCACAAAAATTTAATCAGCTCAAAAACAAAAATTATTATATTCCCCTATTGTACAGGTAACCACGGGCAACTCCTGTGGAATCCCTCCCAGTTAGATGATAGCACTGTTTCTAGCTACCTCAGTTCAGTTTCTGAGGTTATACACTCAAGAGAAGGACTACCCGGAGCTCCAGTGGAGAGAGACAACGAAGACGCTTTATGTCTATTAGTTAATAGTCAATATGACATTGATAAAGCTTTAAATAAGTACAGAGAAGGAGCTTTCGATTGTAAAGGTCAGTCAGTGCTTTTTCTTCTTTATTTTTATTTATTTTTTGCAATTTTTAGGTATGTCTCCTTGGACTGAGGAAGAATGTAGGAAATTTGAAATAGGTAATTATTAATTACTGGGCGTGGCTCATTATTAATTACTGGGCGTGGCGCATTATTAATTAATGGGCGTGGTAATAGCATTTATTAATGGACATGGTAATGGCTTTTATTAGTCCTCAGAATTAGAATGAGAGGGATTTGTGTGACTCATACTGTCAATTATTTGATTGCAACATCATCATTATTAATATACAGACAGCATAACGTCATTCCTCTTATTAATAACAAGTTCTTTCACAACTGACTTCCTGATATCCTAAAGGGAAAAACAACTTGGTCGATATTAATATAAATCATATAACTGTACAATATGTATGAAGTATTGCTTTTATTTATTTATTTGGTTGTTTGTGTGAGGTAATAGGGAGAATAGTTGAGGAAAGGGAAGAGAGAGAGAGAGAGAGGAGGGATCTGGGGAGAGAGTTTGGCTTTCCTTGATATTAGCAGGAGAGAGAGAGAGGAGAGGAAGGGAAATGAAGATTGGGGAAAAGGGAGAAGAGAGTATAATTATCATGATATTAGGAAGGGAATGAGCTTGTCCTGCACTCTCTACTAATTTAAATGTACTACAGTCAAACCTGTCTATTCCAGACACTTTGGGACCAAAAAATAAAAATAAAAATGAACCTGTCCTTATTTCAGAGGTTCATTAATACACATTACTATTGCATTGGGACTGATACTACCTGTCCTGATTATAGAGGTGTCCTTATTTTAGAGTGTCAACAATAGCAGGTCTGACTGTAATGTTAGGTGGATTGGTACTGCACTAATAGATAATTGTGCTAGTTGGAACAATGTTCTATTTAAAGAGAAAAATTACTGTTTGCCTTTAATTAAGTTACACACGCGAGACAGACTCATCACTGTCTATGCTCGAGGTGTTTTTCAAATACTGGCCAGGTGGTACGCGTTATGGTTATGAACTATCAATAGATGAAAAGGTTTCAGTGTTAGCTCTTCCTTGGCACTGATTGGGGTTACTCTGTACTAGTCTTCAGTTTCCTTGGAACTAGTAGCATACGCCTCTGTGTGTGTGTGTATGTACTTTCATGATATAGTAATAGGGAAGAATTTGCAGCTGTTTCTTATAATGTGATTAATTATTAGCCCTCTCTCTCTCTTCTCTCTTTACAGGGCTACGAACAATCGGAAAAGACTTTTTTCAATTACAGAAACAAGTAATTTTATTATTATATAAATGATAATAATAATTATTATAAATAATAATATTGTTACTATTGTTACTGTGATTGTATTTAGGTACCAACTAGGACTGTGAAAGAAGTCGTCGAGTTTTATTACTTATGGAAGAAAACGGAGCGATATGACATATTCTCCACCCAACAGTCAAAAAACAGCAAGAAATACTCGTTAAGACCTGGATACATGTAATAAAAATAATAATAATAATAATAAGGAATTTAATAAGATTTTTCTCTCTTCTTTCTCAGTTCCGATTTCATGGATGATTTTCTTGAACCTCCTGATCCTGATTTCCCTGACCTTCACTATGGCACAACGACAATGGCAGCCGAAATTAAGAAAGACAGATCTCAGCATCTGCTTGACAGCAGACTGAGGGATAATCTCCAAAAAACTGTCACAGCAAAAAGTTCGTAGCTTCTCTTTTCGCTTTATTTCTTATTTTTCTTCCTCTTCATTTGCAAGGACACAGATTTTATATTATATATTATTATTATATCATTTTATGCATGCAGAGAAAATTACCTATCATTATTATTATTATTATTATTATTATTATTATTACTATTACTACTACTATTATTATTATTATTCAAAATACTATTGATAAAATTATGATAATTACTATTATTATATTTAATTTATTTTTCACTGACTTCCAATTCAGTTATAATTTACTTGAGTTTAACTTGGTATAGTAGAACTGCTTACGATTCATGTATTTGAAGGCTTTGCATTGTTTATTACTCAGCCAGCCCACGCTTGCTTTCACAATCTGCATAAACCCAGTATCTGCTAATACACATTGATGTTTATCGTTATCTCAATTTGTGGTATAATTTCAACACATTTAAAGAACAGGAACTGAGCTGCATCACATTCCAAGACATATAACTTTCCAAAAATGTATATATTACTAGTTTGTGACATGTACCGGTCAAAGTCTCCAGGGATATGAAGGGATGGAGCAGCTGTAGTTATAAAAGAAGAAGAATTTCTACAGAGAGGCATGAAAATAGAGTCATTGCTTGTATCAATTCTCTACAGCATTTTATTTAAGTCTTGTCCTTCACACAAAGATGTCTTTCATCATGACTTCTCTCTTAATTGCTTGCTCCCTTTTGCTGTGCTTCAATGGTGCAGTTGGCATTCCTGTCCCAAGTGGTGGAGGAGGAAACTTTGTTGGAACAGAGGTTAGCAAAAAAGCCTCACTCACTCTTTGATCTAGTTTGTAACCATACAGTCATGAACTGTATAATCATCAATTAGAAGAAAATTTGCATGATGTATACTACATATTTTTGCACTGATGTTGCATATTTGCTTCTTATATATTATCTTATCATCTTTGCTTGTATTTTAGATTGTGACTACGCCAGATCAGCCCAAGCAGCCTTATGGAGGAAGTGGCGAGTCGGGAGTATCTCAACAAGATATTTGCATCATCTCTGATCCATCTTATTATGAGACGTCGGTTTTCGAAAACATTGGATCAAAACTGAGCAGCATCAAGAACCCATTGTATCACGTATGGAGCACTGTCTGGAATGTAAGATATGATCATAAAAGAATATAATGATGTAGTGTATGTTTACATTTAAATGTATTTAGAGCTCAGATATACATCACAATACAGTTCTAAACAGTGGTATTACCAAGCCTACAAATCCCTCTGTTCTCAAGACTGATAGCTGTGCTGTAAGTGTAATCACTATACCTAATATACAAGCTATTATGGTAATCCTCTCTATCTCTCAATGTTCATGCAGGAATTGTATACAGCTTTAAGCAATGTGGTCCCACTAATGGAGTGCTATTTTGACGCACTTACTGTTATCCTTGGTAATCTCACTACTGAAGTAACTCACAAGTATTCATCAGCTTGGGCTGGTATAAGGGAGCTAGTGTATGAGGCATATCATAACAGCTCTGTTCTTGAGGATATTAAGAAACTTAAGTCAGGGTTTACAAGCTCTTGCCTCGCTGTAACAACCAGCTATAATTGTTCTGCTAATCTTGAAGCTGTAGAAGGAGGAGTAAGTAGATATTGAAATAGACTAATTAACAGAGCAACTTTTACTATCATTTTGCTTGCATGCATTAAAAGCCTGTCTAAAATTTATAATATTTTTATTATCCATCATAGCTTAATGAGGTATGCTCAGAACCTTACTGTCAACCAAAGAAGATTGAAAAATATGCACTGCTCACTATTCCCATCTACACTTCAGTTAATCGCATTCAATCGACAATTGATGTCATCCAAACCCACATTCAAGTATGCAGTGGAGGGGATGACAGCGACAGCAGGAGGAGAAGAGGCTAATTTGAAGTTCACTAACAATCATTGTACAAAGTTCATTCTTCGTAACTATACTGGTATTATACATCTAGGACAGGCCTTTCTATACCTTTTGTTTTATATATAATTCTTCAATCACTTATTATTATATTTGCAATCATTTTGATTATCAAAACTTGCGAGCTTTCAAAGACTCTCTTTGATTGACGTGCATTTGATTGTAATAAAAATTGCAATTACTTAATTACCAAGCTGCTCTGGCTTTTTCTTATTGTATAAACAAAAACTGTAAAACATTGACATCACTTGCCCATAATTACATTTCAGGCTTGAACTTTGTCTCCATGTGTACATGGAGCTTATCAAAACAGCACCTGTGGAAATAGATCCATGCTGAAAGCATTAAACTGACGTCATTCATATCTACGATGTATGGAAAGTAATTAGATTAAATGGAGAATTAATCAATTTGATATAGCAACATTTCTAAGAAAAGTTTATTAGGCGGTCATTCACTTTAATAGAGAATATATGGATCTAAACAGCTCATGCATTATGCATATTATGACTTGCAGAATGTTTTTAATAGATTAATGCCGTGGAGAAGTAAACAACAATAAAGAAAGTGTTACATTAGCAAAACAAATGCAATATGGGCTTTGTTCTAGAATGAAGTAATGCCCTGTAATAAAAGGGAATCCTTGTTAATGAAAGCAATTAGAGGTTATTGCTTTCAATATACACTAATAATAAATGATGCTTGGAATGTTGGTGCATTACATTGTACACACATAGATACTCATGTCTTCAATCGGATTAAGGATTAATGTGCATATATGGTATTTTAATCTTATTAGCTGGAAATCTGTAACCTACCGGATAATGCATATTATTTTACAAACATCTGCTTTTGTTTCCCTGTTTTTGCATAGGATCAGCATGAGGGAAAGCTAAGGGAAAGATGATACAAGGTGAAGTCCCTGTTATTGTGGTAAGAGACTTTACCAACCATTGTTTACATTGTCTTATAACTTAACCTTATCCATCAAGCCTCTATATAAGCCAGAATCTGAACTTAGTGTCATACAAGTCCCACAATTGCATTTTATCCAAAAAATGTCCGGTATTTTATTCAAATCTTTTTCATGTCTATTCCTAGTCCTTCTGCTCCAACAATCAGTGCCTACTGTGGAAGGAGTCCCCCTTGCCTCCACAAACTGTACTCTCTACAAGAATGTCATGGGTGGTACTGAAGCAATTAGAGTTTACATGGTAAATAAAATGACTACTATTTTAAATATTTTTCTCTGCCATTCACTGCTTATTATTATTATTATTGTTTTTATTAATTTGATTATAGGCCAGGCTCTACAACTATCAGATAGCACTTGAAGGCAAATCATATAACAATGATAGCTTCATTGCATCAAATCTCTTCAAAGGTCTTCAAGTAATAGGCACTGCTGGTTTCTACAATCGATTGCTCCAGCTACTAAATAAAAATGAGGCTTCTAAAAACTACACCGGCTTTGATAACTTGGACATGACGGGGTTTTACTCTGAAATGTTTTCTCAAATAATCACTGACACTTGCACTTGGGTGAGAAATAGTGGCACATTTTTGAGTGGAGAGAGAGAGATTGATGACAGAACAGTCAATAAAATGAAAATAATTACAGGCCGGACGGTCATTAAATTTATCTACATGCATGATAAAAACAAAAATATATACACCATTAATACACAGAGTCATTGTTTGTTCAATATACATTTAATTACTTTATTTTTTAGTTGAATTCTTATGGTGATGCCCTAACTCTTCGTACTGGGATAAACTGCAGTCATCCAGCAGAACAGCTAATGCTGACCCAGTTCTCAATAATAATGCCACTGATACGTTCCTTTGATCAGAAGTTCAGGGAGCAGTTTAACTGCACCCCCAAATACTATCAGCACTGGATTGATGAGAATCTATTGGGTTCCCACCAACCAGAAATTAACTACCTCCAGAGACTCGTGGGTGATACTCTATCTGGTCCGACTCCAAGCTCTAAATAAAGCACTGCCGGTGTACTTGATCGCTCTCTCTTTCTCTACGTGGATACAAAAGACTATTAATTAAATAAATTCTTTACTTTCTATATTATACTAACTTTGTAAAGAATCATAGATTTTGTTTGTAAAGAACTTGATCATAGATTTTGTTTGCAAAAAAAGGAATTTATAGCCCCACCTCTTTTATAAATAACATTCATAGCGCGTGGGTGGGCTTGGGAATCGAGATATTCATTGACTGGGGAAAAGATTGGGAATTTTTTGTTCTTCCTTTTCTCTTCTTTGGAAGACGGGCAGTTCCAATGGAATCTTTTTGGGTCTTTTACGGACAAAAAGTTCAGTTGCAGCTAGATCAGCAGTCAATCCTTGCAGCCAAGATACTGGGATACATGTATGTAAAATATCAATGGCTAATGTATGTAATATCATGAGTTCGTGACTCATCTTTCAATGCAAATACACCAATGTGGGCATTAATTGGAGTATGAGCAAGAATGGATGATTTTTAGATGCTCATAACTTGAAAAATATTTGTCGGAATTAGCTCAAACTTTCTATATAGCATAAGTACATCAATAAGTATTAGAAAATGTAATAAAAATTTGGGGTTAATTTGTAGCCATTTTTTGGAAAAAACCATGGGCTATAGCCTTGGGCATTTTTCAAAAATTGGCCCGTTTTAAAAAATACTCATAACTTGAAAATTATATGTCGAAATCAGCTCAAACTTTACATAGCATAAGGACATCAATATGCATTGGAAAAATGTAATAAAAATTTGGGGTGATTTCAGAGCCATTTTTTTGAAAAAACCATGAACTATAGCCCATGTTTTTTCTCAAAAAATGACTCCAAAATCACTCCAAAATTTTATTACATTTCTTGATACACATTCATGTCCTAATGCTGTGTAGAAATTTTGAGCTGTTTCAGAGTTCAAATTTTTGAGTAATGGCCACTTTTAAAATGCTAATATCAAGGTAGATACCGTTTGCATCCAGTTCTCGCCTGAATTACATCACTAATGGGCTGTGCTTGTTACTGCTGGCCCAATAGAGTAACTCTTTTCTCAGAATAGGATTACATTTCTATACCCTATCCAGTTTCACTTTGAGAATTATTGATGATAATGATATTCATGAGGCTCATGTTTAAATTTATCTTTTCTTTCACTAGTACCAATTGCACTGTCATATGTAAACTCACACACTATAATTCATTAATTGGAATTTCTCCTTAAAACAAACCCAAACCCTACCCGGGAGAAAAAGTGGTAGAGTGAATGAACAATTTGAAAACTCCCTATTCAAGCTGTAAGCTATAAAAGAAGAACTACTCACAATGAAGGAGCATCAGTCTAGTTAAAGCAACTACCAGTCTATTGGAGTATCTCTCTCTCTTTTCAAGATGTCTGTAACTATATTTATATTACTTATTGGCTGTATATGCACTTGTACCATAGTACTCTCCTCACCTGTTGGAAGCATTGGAGTAAGTCATAAACTTAGTACTTATACAAGAGGAATCTTTATTATTGTTTATTATTGTTTATTATAGTTATAATAGTTATTATTGTTATTATCATTGTTTATTATTATTATTATTATTGCTTTAAAAATTATAATTACTGTCACAATAATTATTATTTAAACATAGTTCTAGATTACAAACTTTACAAAGAATTTATTTTTATTTTTTGATTTCATTTAGCCAATGGCTGCATCAGATCTTCCACCATCATTAGAAGAATCTCTAGAGAATAATACAAATGCAATATTGGGAAGTGGTGGGTCTGCTTCCCCTCCTCCCTCACCACCCTCTTCTTCTGTTTCCGGCAAAGTTAAGCCCTCGTCAAGTTGTACTTATTCTCATGGCTCAAGTCAGTATCAAACCGCTAGCACCTTATCTCAAGTACTTTTAAATAAGAAACTATCTGCAATCTACAAACCACTTATGGACGTTGGGAAAACAGTCTGGGGCTCTGTGAGTAAAAAGAAAATAATACAAATATCATTAATTTACTATTGATAATTTAGGACTTTGACCCTTACACTACAACTACTACACAGAGCAATATAGTGATGTCCACTCAGCCAAGTACACTATTTGACTGCTCAGTAAGTTTTATTGCTAAACGATGCATTATAATAATCCATTGCATGATAATTATATTTAATTTTGACAGGCCACTTTGCAATCACTGAGTAATGCAGTACCGCTAATGGGATGTTATTTTGATATACTGACAGCAATACTTGGTAATTTCACTACTGACACTGTGCACAACACTACATCTGCATGGACTGCTGTCAGACAGCTAGTATATGATTCTTATGCTAATATTGTTGTGATTAACAATTTGAGAGGCTTAGTAGCAACTTTTCCTTGCACTAAAACAGCTGCTTCCGTGGGATGTGCTGTGAATTATGATGATGCCAGTAATGATCAAGTAAGCCACTATTAATGATAGATAGCACTTTTAAAATTCTATTTATATCTTTTTTTTGTTCTATTAATAGTATCAGTGCAGTTCTCCTCAGTGTCTCAATACTAAATACTACAAGTATGCTGTAGTGTCTGTACCAGTTGCAGTATCGTTTCATCATATTGAGGGCACTATCACAAGATTCACACAGCTTTGTCTGGCTGGAGGCAAAAAGGATTGATCAAAACCTGCTACTAAATTATTTCGAATGCTAAATAACTCTTAGTTAGACATTTTCTTTTCTTTTTTTTATTTGTTAATTCAATTTAGTTAAACTATCATTGTCAAAAAATGATAATAATAAGCAAAAAACTCTGACTTCTTTAACATAATATTGTAACAAGATATCAAAGATCAGCTTACAAATTAGCTGGAAAGTTATAAACGCAATCAAGTAATACATTATATGCATGCCAGTAATCAAATTCATTTCTTCTCCATTCGCTGGAGGAAATCCACTTCAGACTGGTATTGTGGCCTTATGAACAGGTCAATCCAGTTACTGCTACTCTTGGAACAGTCAAACTGAGGCTCCCATGTATTGATTGTGTATGGAATGAGAGGACTAACCATTGAATGCTGACCGAGTAGCATAAGCTCTGAAGGATGGGAACAATTTATAGCAAGACGGTTCTTCATCGTAGTGTTGTAAGAAGTTATCTAGGGAGAGAAAGAGAAAAGTAAGAATTGTGGAACTGCAAAATTTTTTAACCTACCCAAGTACATATGTCTTTTAGTAGATATGTAATCATTGCCTCAAAGAAATGTATTATCCTGAGGTTATTAAACCCAGTGTAGTTGGCAAACTGAGGCTTATCTTTAGCATCATGTAAGATCTGCCTGTATAGACCAGCAACTGCCACAAATTTATGAAGACTGCTTAGAGATTCAGAGGCTTCATCTGTCTTTTTCTTACTGCTCTTTAAAATTGATTTGAAGTCATACAATGCTGACTGTAAGATACTTAATAATAAATGCACCAAAAATCGAGATTTGTCTTACTGTGTAATTATCAGCTGCTTTGTTCCCTCCTTCAAGCTTTTTAAACTCAGTGCAGTTCGTGGGCCTAAAGGGGATAGACTGAACTATTTGAAACTGAGAGAATAGCACTCCAATAATAACAATAGAGAATAATACACCACGAGCAGAAGGCATGCTGTCTTGCATTGTAGTGCACTGCACGAGCTTGTCAATACTCGTTTATATGCAGCCCTCCTTTATGCAAATTAGATGTTAATCCTGTTTATCGTTTACACAGTACAATAATGATGCCAAGTCATTGTGTTCTCATGTTACATAGGACAATTGTTGAACCTTTCGATGGAACCGCATGAGGTCTGCCCTCTTTCCCATGCCATGCACACCCATCAACACTGGTTGTTATTGCATTGTAAAACTACCATTTAAAGTGATTTGTATAATAACAGTAACAGTTGTATAATAACAATAATGGTAAATGGTCATTTTCTACTATAGATCAGTCCTTCAAGATAATTCATTTCTGTTCCATAGTCATTTTGATTCTTGAAGCTATCCAGCCAGGCAAGATGAAACTGGCGATTGTGTTGGCAGCCAAATTGCTCTTGAAAACCACCAAATTCAACGTGATGCATCTTTGTCACTAAGTAAGTGAATTGACTCAGTAACAGTTGCTCTAGTGGATGTGAACAATTAATGTTAGTCCTAAGAGTCAGGGCTTGATTTGGATATGAGAGTAACTGTATAATGACAAAATAATTAAGATAACAACAGTAACGTCAATAAAACAAAATTTATAGCGCAATAATACTTCACATTTTTTTACCCAGTTGCATGTATCTCTCAGTAAATTTGAGTGCATTTTTGAGAAAAACCCTGTCAAATCTGTGCCATTGAAACCACGATAATTTTGAAGGGCTGGATCCCTAGAAACCCTGAGCATTAATGGGCTATAGATCCCCGACACTCCAGCTAACTGCAGCCCTTGAAAAAGATTGCTCGCGACAGCTGTTTCTGTATAATAGGACAAATTACTCTGAAGTGCAATTTGATAATTATATACCAAAGCCTATAAATACAATGAGCAAAAAAAGTATAACACTGCAGACTGTAATAAATGCAAGCACGCATGACTTACCATTATGTATCCTATTGCTTCATGGCCTCCAATAACTTTACTAAAGAGTGTACAATTTGTAGGCCTTATTGGAACTCCTGTGGTGATTGCGAGAGACTGAGTGAGAAGAAAAAGTACAAAGACATTGATTAACATTGCTCTTATAACTCTGTATTTTGCAGTTACTTCTGATTGTTAAACTCATGCACTGCGGCTTTCTGCTTATATACTGTTACTGTGCAGCCCCTTGATATTCTATTTTCAGTCAAGCTCTTCGTTGAATTGCCTGAATAGAGAGAGAGAGGTCACACAATGCCTATTGCAGTATTGCATATTGCTTTGTTCACTGTTATACTTATTGTTGTATTCTAGTTACAACTGGTTTTGTGATAATAGCCCCATGCAGGGTTGTAATTGAGAGCTTTCGCATCAGATAAGATGACGTGTATGTGTTTGTGGTAACAATGACTTATTAAATGTCTTCTTTGAACAGCAAGTACTGCCTACTTTTGATATCCTTTAAAGAACCATGTACATGATAGCTACATGTTCTATTGTGCTGTTATCCGATCATCAAATCCCATCCCACAATGCTAGCTCTATACCTGACATAATTGTCACAAACAGCATATCAATTGAACTGAAAAATGTATTTTTAGAATCTTCTTCATCCTTATTAATTTTGCTTGTTTATACAGATGCTATACTATATAACATGTTTGTTTGCATTCTTATACTAATTACTACATGTGGTTTTGAGCTGATTAACTGATTGCTCTATGATCTCTCTCTCTCTCTCTCTCCCATCCTCCATCTGTTGTATGTAGATTTATGTTATGAGGATTCGCAAAGTGTTCACTATATAATTTTTTTGATACTCAAATAAATTTAATGAACGTAATTAGAATGATAAGGCAAAAATAAAGAAAAAGAAACCGAATTATACTATATCTGTTCATACATAAATTATATAGTTTTATACTCGCAGTCCACTTTAGCAAAAGTCATGTCATTATTTCTTCTTTGCTAGCCCAACAAGTGCCTTGAGGTAATTAATCTCCGGTGTGTATTCATCTTCCAAGTATTCTTGAACCCAGTGTATGTGGTGGACACGTCCAGATCCACAAGCTTTAGAAATATCCCTTCCAAGTCCAGCCTCATACTCTTTAATAGCTGGAGAAATGAGAGTCCAGGCACTTAGCATTAATTGTTCTGCTGGATGACTGCAGTTGATGTCTGGGCGTAGTGTGAGAGCATCATTTGGATAGGAGAGCAGCTATAAAATGTAAAAAAAGAATGCAATTCAAAACTTAGTTTTAAAAGCTGATGATTTGCACTAGTAGAAACTCACCCATTCACATGTGTCTTTGATGAGTGTAGACATCATGCTGCTGAAGAATCCAGCCATATTCAAGTTACCAAAACCTTCATAGTTTTCTAGGGAAGGGTCATCTTTTATCTCGTCAAACAGCTGCACATAAAGACCAGCAGTACCAATGATTTGCAGTCCTTCAAAAAGATTAGTAGCAATCCCATGGTCACCGTAAACTGAATGATTGCTCTCTAATGCAATTTGATAATTGTATAATCTGGCCTATTAATGATGATAGCAAAGAAAGATAATTAAATAATGAAGAGGATTAGATTATAACTAACACTACAAACAGTGAGGATTTTACTATAATGTTAATGCATGCACTTACTGTGTATTCAGAGAGAGCATGGACTCCTGAGTGCATCCACCAGAAATTAGTGCAGTTTGGTGGCTGAGTTAAAGGAGCTGCATCTATTGGTGAGGACAGGAGAATGAAAGCAGCAGCAAGAGCAGTCATGATGATTGATTTGTTTGCCATCTTTGTGTCAGTCAGTAGACTTTGATTTGTTTTCTTGAAGTTTTAGTTGCATGAACTATCTTCTGTCTAAGGCTCATTTTATAGTCTGAGTCTTGCCGTCCTCGGATTTCGGATTTCCCTATCTTTTCTACCACAAAAGGACACAAAACTTAAATAAACAGTAAATATAAGCACACGCGTAAACAAAACATCGCGCATTCGTTAATTATCACTACGGAAGTGGCACTACTGCGCATGCGCAATAGGTTTTTAATTTATTCATTATTATTGATTATCTAATTATGGTTGAATGTTTTCTTTTTTAGGGAAAGGGAGAGAAAGAGGAGAATGGCAACTAAAGGGCACGACTATCAAGATGATTTAGACTCCGAATTCGATTCCTCTGAAAGAGAAAGAAGACATACGTGGAGAGACGATCCTCTCTCAAGCAAAACAAGAGAACAGACCGCACCCTCTCACTCCACAATGCTACCGCCGAAAACGGTACTCGTGGACGAAAGAGACAGAGAAGAGGCTCGGTCGCGTCGCTATCACTTATTATCACTCGACGCATATTCTCGGCATAAAATGATGATTAATCGCTATCTCTTATCGACTGGGAAGACAATTAAAAATGTTGTTCGCTCGTCCGAAAAGGATCGTAATGACTACGACATCCTTCGTGAGGAGCATAGGTTTCTATGGGATGACACTCCACCCACGACTTGGGAGGAAAAACTAGCAAAAACGTACTACGACCGTCTTTTTAAAGAATACTCGATATCTGATTTGAGTCGATATAAAGAGAATAAAGTTGCCCTTAGGTGGCGGACGGAAGGCGAGGTCATAGAGGGGAAAGGTCAATTCGTGTGTGGGAACCGTCGCTGCGATACAAGGGATGAGCTCACCAGCTGGGAGGTTAATTTCGGATACGTGGAAAAAGGAGAGAAGAAGAACGCTCTTGTGAAGCTAAGACTTTGTCCGTCTTGCTCGAAGAAGTTGAACTATCATCACGCGAAGAGAGCCTGGAAGAGGGAGAGAAAGGAGGAGAGGAGAGAGAAAAAGAGAAAAAAGAGGCGGAGATCAGATAAAAGTAAAAAAGAATCTCCAAGTACTGATGATGATGACAGTCGAGACTCTTCTGATGATGGTAAGGCTTACAGGTGGAAATTTAAATTTAAAAATTGCATTATCTAATTGAGTGTAACGACCTTCTTTTATTTCGAATCCTAACGAAATTATTAATTATTTAATTAGGATAATTATTAGATTGGCCATTACCATACGTAAACCCTAAACCCTTTCTCTCTTAAATTGAAGTATACTGCATTATTCGTATTATTATAATCTGTGACTTTTTCCCTTACGTTTAAATGGCTAGGGATTAGGAATTAACCGTCTCCATACAAGCATGCAGGGATCAACCTTGTCCATACACACGCTCCTTCTGTTTATCTTTGACACAATGCATTTGTTATTCCACAGCGTGGTTTTTGGACAAACTTGCACGCGGTTTTGAAAATGCTGCAAGCTTTTGTCCTTTCCCCTTGTTTGTTTTATGTCATATTGTTAGGATGCTTAGTGTATACACTGCATCTGTTTCTCTCTTTCATTTCATTATTATCACTTTGCGATAATAATAACAATAATAATAGCTCTTGTGTGTACATGCATTTGATATTTTGTTAACTTTTCCTCTCTCTCTTACATTCTCTTTCTCTCTCTCTCTCCTTCCACTTTATTGTAACTATTGCAATCTACTCTTTCAAAAATATCATTATTATTATTATTTCTTTTCTCTTTCTCTCTTTTACAAGATGGCCAGTCTTCATCGAAACCCACTTCTCAGACTAAAGAGGGAGAGGAGACAGAGAGAGGGGGAGACGTGGGTGAGATATGGAACAAGTCAGCAAAGGAACTAGTAGAGAAGACCAAAGAAGAAGAGTTTGATGATTATTTCAAAGACATGTTTATGTAATAATTGTTTACTCGTTGTATTAACTTATCTCTCTCTCCTCCCCCCTCTCTCTCTCTCCTCCCTCCTCCCCTCTCTCTCCTCCCCTCTCTCTCTCCTCCCCCTCTCTCTCTCTCCTCCTCCTCCTCCTCTCTCTCTCTCTCTCTCTCTCTTCAGCTCCTTCTATCTCTCTCTTTTTATACATACTTATATCTTTCTATTCCTATTATTATTACTATTAAGAATTATTATTATTATCATTGTGACAGATTTGATGAGCACTTGAAGGGTGGATAAAGAGGGTTGAACTCGTCTTAGTGGATCAATGACCCTATTGTACTCTGTTATTATTAGCCAAACCTCTGACAAGGAAGTAGAAATACATGTATATGCACTAAAATGTATATTATATTACACGTGTATATGTTATGTAACACTTAAAGTACAGTAACCACCACCACTTTCTTAACCGGAAGACTATAGTTACTTTATTATAAGTATATCATACAAGTGCAAGTGCATGCTGTATGGATATAAAAGAGTATAAGTAGAAATTTGAGATTGAACTCTTTCCCTCTCACTCCTTTCTTGTATCAACAATCCTATTCAGGAAGGTCAGGGCTCTTGACACTAAGTGCCTGATAAGCAGCTGCTATTAAAGGCTCTACGATCATAAGGTATCACTTAGCGCATGTATTATAAAAACTGGTTCTATTCATGAATCTTTGTACTATAGATAAAGCTGATTACTTTATACTTTGATGAGAAGATTTGACGTAGCTATATGTCGCCCCTATATAATAACAATTTAATACGATATAATAAACTCTCTCTCTCTTATTGAACTAGAGACTTTCTCTTCCTCTCTCTCTCTCTCTCTCCTTTCTCTCTACAAGTGAGTTAAGCATGATAATTATATTCTTTCTAATAATAAATAATAATATGATCTTAGATAATCTTTATGTGTATACAAAATATTAAATGATCAGGTAGCTCATTTTAGAGCAGGAGTAGCTCATAATTAAATTCAAGCTGTTATGTTTTTCATTGCATTACTAACATTGTTGTTGTATCTGTTCCTTATTGACAACTGGATCTGTTGTTGCACTAAATCCTGCTTGAGCTTCCTTAGTTTCTCTAAAGCATTGTGCCTCAGCTGAGGGAAAAGACAAGGAAGAGGAGAGAAAGGTATGCTAATATTTTATGTGTGTGTTATGTGTTTACTCTTTTTTCCTTTGCCAGCTGCTGTTTGGTCCACCTCAGCCTCTCTCTGAGGTCTTTAATAATGTCTTGCAATCTCCAGCACTGAATCTTTAAATTAGCCTATTATACACAGCAAGCAATGAGAGACAATAATACTGAAACAACAGCAGAGGCATAACAGTAGAGCTGCATGTATACATACATAGTTCTGCCTATGGTGGTCGGGGGTGGTCGGGACAACCACCTCAACAAATGAACCAACCAGTTCATCACTTAGACCAATCATCCAATTAATACTAATAACCATACATAAAGCATGATATTGTAGTCCACTAGTATGGTGTACATAAATTTAAAAGGAACAATATTAGTCTCCAACCACCTCTAATTTTTTTCTAGGCAGAATCCTGTATATACATTATATACATTTAAATGTAACATACTATTTCAGAAGGCTCTCCTGCTCTGTATATTACCCAACCTAATGTTTATGCAGTAGTAGAATGAAAAGTAATACAATAATAATAATATATGCATACATAGTAATTGATGGATGTACATGTATAATGATCAGGGTTCTATC